TACACTCAGCTTTGCATTTGCCCGTCGCCCAATGAGTTGTCTGTGCAACGTTACCATGCCTGCTATTTCTATAGTATTATTCGGGTTCGTGGGTCGATCATGTTCTCCTTTTCCATTTTTTCCGTCTTCAATTCTTTCCTTCGCCTGTCCCCTCACGGCTGCCCCCCCGTGAATGTCGCTGTCGATCCCCTATTGATGAATCCAACTTTTCCCCGCTGCGTGGGCAGGGCCGCTACGGCCGGTACGTGCGCTTTCTCGACCTGTTCTACGCCGCGCTGTCGCACGCGTGGCCGCGACGCCAGAACAATGGGTGTGCGCCAAGGTTCGTATCAGTGCGTGTGCGCCAGTTCGCACGTTCATCTCGTGCATGCTTTCATGTGTATGCGTACATTTGGTCTCGCTCCCACGCAAGGCGGTGAGCTTACGGTGAGCGGTTTCCGCCCGCGTATCTGGAGACCTGTCAACTGCAACCCATAGGCTCGGCGGAAGAACGCAGTGCGTGTGTGTATGTGTCTTTGTTGGGATGTGCGGCTTGCCGGCGCTGCTACGGCCATGGCGTTCCCGTAGCTTCACCGCAGTGTCTCCCCTTGCCTTCGCGGTCTTGTCGTTTCCATACTGGTCGCTTGTTTGCCTACCTTCGCCCGACCCCCCCGTCATCCACACCTGGATGACTTTGGCTGGCTGCCGGCGCTGCTTGTTCCAAGCGGCTTGAGGGCTCGGTCTCTGGACGCGCGCGCCCGCCCGCCGATCCGACCTTGGTACGCCCTGTCGCTGCTCGCGGGGCCGCAACGCTAAAAATGTGTTGGGGTGTGCGTTGGTGTGTTGGAGAGCGCGTCCGTGCGCGAGTACGACTGCGTGCTGACGCGCGCATGTTTGTTTTTTGTGTTCATGTGCAGCTTCTTGGTTGTGCGTGTTTGAGTGCTGGAGCGTACCCTGCATGCATTGTCCCCCGCCCCAGCAATCCGTGCTTGCCGTACCCAGTGTTGCGTCGACCAAGCATTTGGGCGAGCTAGACCCTATGGCCTTTGCGCGATCTCAAGTGCATGGGCTCGCTTGTAGACGGCGAAAATGGTCATCCCATCGATTTGACACCTCGGGCTCCTGATGTCGTGTGGCCTCGCAGGATGTCTTTTCGCGAGTGCATTCTCATCAGCGCTGCCTGTTCCCGGCCTGTGCGGTACCCCCGTTTAGGCAACATTTCGCCACCGCAGTTACTTTGCCTAGCCGCCGGCGCAAAAAAGTTCGGCCTTGGGGGTCAAGGCTGCTTTCGCCATAACTTCCTAACGGGAAGCCAGGACAACTAAGATGCACGCCGCTTCGAGGGTGCCGCGGTCAGATTTACGCTGCGTCCCCTCCTTGTTTGAGTCCATATTGTAGGCCTGTAGGGCCGTCGTGGGCTTCCCTTGGGCCGGTTTTGGCCTTTCACGGGCTCGGCATTTTTTGAGGGTCATTTTCGGGGTCTTTGGCTCGATCTAGGGGGGGATGGATCGTGGGCCCCCTTCAACTTCCTTGTCTTGGGCCCCTTTTGGGGCCCTCTTCGGGGCATTCTGGGCATATTTGTGGTGGACTTCTTGGTCATGGAGCCGTCTTGGGTCCCTTCTCTTGGTCCGTCTTGGGCCAGTTTCGGGGGCCTTCGAGCCGTTCTGTGTTGTGCGAGCTCCTCTCCCTCGGCATCCCCGCGCCGACCTACACGGTCTGAGTGGGCTCCTTCTTTCTCTCTTCGCGTTTTGTTTTTCGTTCTCTTGCCTTAATTCGCTCGCGGTGCACCCCACCGCTTGCTTTGACCGGCGCCTGACCGACTTGCACCACCCGACCGTCCTGCACCACCTCTTGTGCGAGCCCCGAGAAGGCGAGAGCGCCGAAATCTGACAGAAGTCCAGAGGGAATCTATGTCTTTGGCTTTTTAATGCCCTCCCTCTTGGGGGTCCTCTCAGGGCCTCGCGGGGGCAACCTTGGGGTGGGGGCTCGTTGGCCCCCTTCGACTTCCCCATCTTGGGCCCCTCTGGGGGCCTCCTTGGGGTCATCTCGGGCCTCTTCTTGATCCGTCTCGGGGCGGACCGTATTGGGGATTTCTCGGGCCGTTTTGGCCCGGTCGGGGCGGGGCTGTTGGGCCGTCTTGGCTTGTCCGAAGACCGAAGAGTCGGCGAGAGCGCGAAAATATTTCAAACGGTAAGCACGGCTATCAATTGTGTGTTTTGGATGCCACCCTTTGGGCCCTCTTGAGGCCTCCTGGGTTTCACCATTTTTGGCCCCCCTTGGGGCCGTCTTGGGGGCATCTTGGGCCGCCTTGAGGGGCTCTTGGGCATCTTGGGGCGGTATTGGGCCGTCTTCGGGCCCTTTCGGGGCTCTCTTGCACCGTCTTGGGCCAGTCTGGCGTGCCTCCTGCGCGGTTCTGGGCTGCGCGGAGCCCGAAGACGAGAACGCGAAAATTGTTCAAACACATAAGGGGGATCAGTGACTTTCCCTGAAGGGCTCCGGCCCAGGGTTCTCTTTTAGTAGGGTTACCTCCGGAATCGACTTGAGGTGGGCAGGCTAATTTCTTTTGCGATAAATATCGAGGACAGGGTGGACCGGCGAATTAAGATCTTGAGGATGTCCCTAGCGAAACGCTTGTTTTGAAGAAATTGTTGAGGATGTCTCGAGCGAAACACTTGTTTTGTGTCATATATTGTCCTCTCCTGGGGACGGGGAGACGCTTGGTTTCACGCGTCCAGGTTGCCCAGGCAGATGTCTAGCATGAGGATTTGTTGAGGATGTCTCGAGCGAGACGCTTGGTTTCACGGGTCCAGGTCGGATGTCTAGCATGAGGATGTTTTGGGGAAGTCTTGATCGAGACGCTTGTTTGCATGTGTCCAGGTTGCCCAGGCGGATGTCTAGCATCAGGATGTGTTGAGAATGTCTTGACCTAAACGCTTGTTTTCACGTATCCAGGTCGCCCAGGCACAGCACAGCCCTCGGCACGGTACATCAAGATCGATACATTCAGCATCGTAACCTGGCACGTTCCCTGGGACGTTCCTTGGCGCGTCCCGTGTCGAGTCCCCCTGGCACGTCGCGCGGCGCTTCCCTTGGCACGTCCCGTGGTACGTCCATTGGCACGTTTCGTAGCGCGTCCCATTGGCACGTCCCGCGGTACGTCCCCATGGCACGTCCCCTGGCACGTCGTCTGGCGTGTCCCTTGGGACTTTCTGCAGCGCGTCCTCCTGGCATGTCCCCCTGGCAGTTAGCTCTGGGGCAGCTAGTATGTGCTCACGCAGCTCGGGCTTACAATCCAGATCAGTTTGGACAGGACTCGGATGCAGAGGAGGACTCGATCGGCTACAGAGCACAATCGCGGCATGGCACATCGCAATTCAGCACGGCGCAGCACAGCACAGCCTTCGGCACGGCACATCAAGATCGATACACTCAGCATCGTAACCTGGCACGTTCCCTGGCACGTTCCTTGGCGCGTCCCGGGGCGAGTCCCCCTAGCACGTCGCGCGGCGAGTTCCCTGGCACGTTCCGTGGCGCGTCCATTGGCACGTTCCGTAGCGCGTCTCCTTGGCACGTCCCGCGGGACGTTCCGCGGTGCATCTTCCTGTAACATGTCCCCCTGTCAATTAGCTCTGGGGCAGCGACTATGTGTTCAGGCAGCTCGAGTCTAAGATCCAGATCAGTTCGGTCAGGACTCGGATGCAAAGGACGACTCGATCCACAACGCTATAGAGCACAATCGCGGCATGGCACATTGCAATTCAGCACGGCGCAGCACAGCACAGCCCTCGGCACGGTACATCAAGATCGATACACTCAGCATGGCATTTGCCCGTCGCCCAATGAGGTGTCCTTGAAACGTTGCCATGCCTTGCATTTCTATATGTTGCGAAGGCCTTACGGCCGGTGCCGCCGACCCTGAAGGGGGACGTTGACGACGACGGCGGCGGTGGTGGCGGCGACGACGACGACGACGACGCTGACGTGGGCCCGAGTCCTCAGGGATGCTTCTTGGGGTCTCTTGGGAAGGCTCTCGGGGGCCTCTGGGGGGGAATTGTTGGGTATCTTGGTAGCCTCGAAGGGGCTTCCCTGCGATTCGGTTACGACATTGCGAGGTTTTTCTCTCGCTGACAAGCTTGAGGAGAGTGCAGGGAAAGGGGACGACGCAGACGACGACTGAACGACGCGAACAGACAAACTTCTCGCGCACACCGACAGGGTCGGCGGATTTGGGAATGGTAGAGCTTTGGATTGCACGCAGACAGCCCCCCCAGGGTGGTCCCGGCTGGCCTCAGTAGGTCCCCCGAGCAGTCCCAGCTAGCCTCGGCAGGCCCCCTGAGCAGTCCAGGGCGGTCTTAACACGCCGCCTCTGGCGGCGCCCGTGGGGGCGCTCCACGCTCTAGGGTTGAGGCGTTGAGACCGCCCCCGACCTACTCGGGGAGCTCGTTGAGGTCTGCTTGGCACTGGCCCCCGCTGTTCCAGCTTCTGCTTCTCCCTCCTTCCGCCACAAACGTTCATGCGCAGACGCCCTCCAATGGATTGTTCCTGGGTCTCAGGCGAGGGCGGCGGCGTGTACAGCACCATTGGTAGAGACAGCGAATTGATACGCTGCCGTCCTCCGTCTAGGTACGCGTAAAGTCCGCGGGAGGGTGTCTGTGTACGGTAGGTTCGCGTCGTGCCGACTTGCGACGACCGCGCCGCCGGCGTTCAACGTGAAACGCCGCCGACGATCCAGAATCGGTCGATGTTGATGGATCTGACGTTTCGTAAACGGCCGATCGTCCCAGGTGGAACGATCCCAGCGGTGTCAGAGACCAATGCCGGGATCGACACGACGCGAACTTGCCCTTGATGTTTTCGTGGCGTATTTCCGCTCCTGTCTCTCTCCTTACGTTAGCGTGTTTCCGTGTAGCTCAAGGCTCGTACAGGCGCGATTGGCCATAGGTCAAGGCTACAGCTTAGTATAGCTGCTGTCTTCCCCCCACCATTACGTGCCAGCGCAATTCGACGGCCTTCCGTGATACATGTTGTACTTTCTTGTGTTTGGTCATCTTGTGATTGTTTTGAATGCGCTCACATTCGGCAGCAAGAATCGTGCATTGCCAAAGCATGGTCGCGTTGCGATACTTCTACGAGGCCAAGCTTTTCGGCAACAATGGATGAATCATGTGGACGCTCGAAGTGGATGCCACGATGACAGCATTCCTGCCCAGCTCAAGTGCACGGATTCACTATTGAAGCATATCGTGACTCCTCTGGAGAGAAATTTCAACACGGTCGAGTTCTTTGTAGTAAATGGGATTGATAAGAGCGCCTGCCCAAATTTCCGAAATTTGTTGATGCCCAAGTTTGCCAAGTGGGGGGGGGCAGCTGCCAAGGAGTTCGACTCAAAAACTCAGGCAGATAACATGAGGGCGACGTTGGAGCTATTCAAAGATACCGTGGGCGGGTCCGATTATATCGCGAAGTGGTACGACTTGATTATCATTCTCCGGCACGACGCAGAGTGGTTGTCATCCATTACTGAGTGGCCAACTGCGGAGTTTGATAAGTTGAATTTGTTCAGCTTATGTGAAGATGGTTTCGGACGTCATCAAGGTCCCAAAGAAAATTGTGTGAACGACATTCTGCATATGATGCCCGGGTCTCTATGGAAAGGGTTTCGGAATGCAGTCGGATCAAGATTGTGCTACAATCCGGGCCATAGGCGTGGGCTCGGACATGATTGCTACCGAGCTTTTGCCAGGCAAGTCGGGGAGGACAACATTACATTTGTCACTGACTGGCGTCCAGGAGTTATCCCGCACTTCGGTGGAAATGGGATTCTTGAGCTGATGTGATCGGAGTTATCTTGCTCGTCTTCCTCCAGAGGTCGGCGTCACCTCTCTGCCCAATCCTCGTTCCTCCTCTTCCGCTCAGGGAGGTACAGCATGCTCTGGCTTGGCCTGGTGGGGCCTCCTCTGTGAAAGTGAGGAGAACACTGGAATCCGGAGGTTGGAACCCTGACTCCCTGGAGGTTAGGTTTTTCCTTTTCGGAACCTCCCAAAACAGAGGGAGGTACGAGAAACAGGGAAACAAAAGGGAAACAAAAGGGAAACAAAAGGGAAGCAAAAGGGAAACAGGAGGGAAACATAGGGAACAATTGTGGAAACATAAGGGAAACAAAGGGAAAACAGAGGGAGGCATGGGGAAAACACAGGGAAAACATAGGGAAACAGAAGGAACACGTGGGAAAACATAATGCGCACATGGGAAAACATATGACAAATAGATGGAACCCTAACCTCCGGAGACTAGGGTTTCGTGTTTCGGAACCTCCCCAAACATAGGGAAACAAGGGGAAACAGAGGGCAACAGAGTAAAACACAGGAAAACAGAGAGAAACAGAGGGGATGCAGAGGAACACTGAGGGAAACATGAGGGAAACATGGGGAAAAAGAGGTAACCTCCGGAGGTTTGGGTTTCGTATTTCGGAACCTCCTCAAACAGAGGGAAACAAAGGGAAACAAAGGGGAACAGAGGAAAACAAGGGAGAACAGAGAGAAACAGAGGGAAAGTGGGGGAAAACAGAGAGCCACATAAGGGAAACATTGGAAAACATAAGAAACACAGACGAAACACTAACCTCCAGAGGTTAAGGTTTCGCATTTTGGAACGTACCAAAACAGAGGGAAACAAAGGGAAACAGAGGGGAACAGAGGAAAACGCGAAAAACATAGGAAAACATGAGGAAACAGAGGAACACATGGGAAAACATAAGGAGAACAGGCGGAACCCTAACCTCCAGAGGTTGGGGGAACTCTAACCTCCAGAGGTTAAGGTTTCGCATTTTGGAACGTACCAAAACAGAGGGAAACAAAGGGAAACAGAGGGGAACATAAGAAAACGCGAAGACAGAGGAAAACGGAAGGAAACAGAGGAAAACAGGCGGAACCCTAACCTCCAGAGGTTGGGGGAACCCTAACCTTCAGAGGTTAGGGATTCGTATTTCGGAACCTCCCAAAACAGAGGGAAGCACAGGGGAAACATAAACAAAAGGGAGACAGCAGGGAAAACAGCAGGGAAACATAGGGACAGCAGAGGGAAGCATAGAGAGAGAGAGAGAGAGAGAGACAAAGAGAAAACAGAGGGAAAGCAGAGGGAACACAGGGGAAAACATAGGACAACAGACGAAACCCTCACCTCCGGAGCTTAGGGTTTCGTATTTCGGACCCCCCCCAAACAGAAGGAAACAAAGGGAAACAGAGGGGAACAGACGAACACATTGGAAAACAGAGAGAAACAGAGGGAAATCAGGGGAAAACAGAGGGATAAGGAAAACAGGGGGAAAACAGAGGAAAAACATATGGAATCCTAGCCTCCGGAGGTTAGGGTTTCGTATTTCGGAACCGCCCCAAACAGGGGGAAACAAATGGTGAAGAGGGGAACAGACGCAAACAAGGAAAAACATAGGGAAACAGAGGGCAAACATAAGAAACAATAGGGAAGCATAAGGAACACGAGCGAAAAACAGGCGGAGCCCTAGCCTCCGGAGGTTAGGATTTCGTATTTCGGAACGTCCCCAAACAGAGGGAAAACCAGGACACATGGAAACAAAAGGGAAACACCAGGGAAACACAGGGAAAACATAGGAACACATAGGGAAACAAAAGGAAAACAAGGGAAAAACAGGGAGCACATGGAAAAACATGAGAAAACAGACAGAACCCTAACCTCTGGAGGTTAGGGTTTCGTATTGCGGAACGTCCCCAAACAGAGGGAAACAAAGGGAAACAGAGGAGAACAGAGGAAAACATGGGAAAACAAAGAGAAACAGAGTGGAAACAGAGGGAAGCATAAGGAAAACAAGGGAGAACAGAGGAAAACCAAACAGAACCCTCTAGAGGTTAGGGTTTAGTATTTCGGAAAGTCCCCAGACAGAGGGAAACAAAGGAAACAGAGGGGAGCAGAGTAAAACAAAGAAAACATAGGGAAAACAGAGGAGACCCTAACCTCTGGAGGTTCGGGTTTCACATTTTGGAACCTCCCAAAACAGAGGGAAACAACGGGAACAGAGGGGAACAGAGGAAAACAGGGGAACACAGAGGGAAAGCAAAGGGAACACGGAGGGAACCCTAACTTCCGGAGGTTAGGGTTTCTTATGTCGGAACCTCCCAAAGCAGAAGGAAACAGAGACGATCAAAGGGAAACAAAGGAAATTTGAGAAACACGGAGGTAAACAAAGGGAGACGGAAGGAAAAGTAGGACAACGGAGGGAATCCGAACCTCAGGAAGTTAGTGTCTCCTATTTCGGAACCTCCCAAAACAGAAGAAACATAAATAACATTGCAGACTGTGGCCGTCGCCACTATCCTCAGGAATTTCTGGAATTTATGGTTTTCCTTGGGAATTTCTGGAATTTCTGGAACGTCTGGAACTTCTGGAATTTCTTGTTCTAGCAGGTTATGAGAAAGTTAAGAACTTCCAGCAATTCCAGAGAGTAGGACAAGGTGGAGGAAGAGATGGAGGGGAGGAGGTAAGAGGATGGGGTAAGACAATTCCAGAGAGTAGGACAAGGTGGAAAGTGAGGAGGACAGAGTAGGACAAGGCGGAGAAATAATGGATGAGGAGGAGGATGAAAAGGAGGAGGACGCGGACATGAATGAGGACGGAGAGGGCGCGGAGGAGGAAGAAGGGAAGGAGACGGAGAGGAGCAGAAGGATGAGGGGGAGGGAGAGGGGAAGGAGGAGCAGAAGGAGGAGAAGGCGGAGGAGGAGGAGGAGGAGGAGGAGGAGGAGGAGGAGGAGGAAGCGGAGAAGGAGGAAGCGGTGATGATGATGAGGAGGAGGAGGAGGAGATTGCTGAGGAGGGGGGGAAGAGGAGGAGGAGGAAAGACTCAGAGCGATCAGGTCGACGATCGATCCCTGAAGCGCCCCAGTGAATGCCGAAAACACGATGGGCGGACGACGGAAAGCGCATTTGGCATGGACCTCCTCCTTCTCGTCCTCCTTCGTTCCCCTCTCTTTTCTCTTCCTCTCCTCCTCCCCTTTTTTTGTATTTTTTTTTGGGGGGGGGGGGATTTCTGTTTTTTTCCGGGAAAGGGCGTCTGCCGAGGTTTTTTTTTAGTTGGTAATTCACCTCAGTGTCAACTTCTGTAGGGCCTGCGGGATTTCCGCTCGATAAAGAACAAGGTAAAGTTCAATTCGGCGTGAAACAACTGCGTTTCGCGCGTGCCCGCTCGAGGAAAGTCGACCCCCCAACTCCCAGATCCTCCAAGAACAGCCCAATAGAGCTGCGAGAGCCGTCCAGAGAGAGCCCAAAGAGGGTAAACTCGTTGATTTCCCATGATTTTTCTAACGTTTTTCGCCTTCTCACGTTTTCCCGCTTCCAACCCTCGAAGATCGAGGATGTTTTTTTAAACATCGCAATTCCCAGAATTCCATTTTTTTTCAAAGTGGGACTCCTACTCGAGGGTCACATCCCCTGACATCTGGCCGGTATCGCGCCTCCTGGCTTCCTGGGGGAAGACCCCAAGACGCCGAAGGACAGCCCATGACGACCTCAAGGAGCCCCCAGAACGTAAAGAGCGGGCCAACACGCTCCCGCGCAGCCCGAGACACCCTTCGGCGGCTCTCCAGGCCTCGAGGAGGCCTCCAGAAGCTCCAGGGGGTCCGGAAGATCCCACACCCCTGAGGGGCCCGGCTAACAAAACCCGCGAGGCACAAACAAAAGACAGCGCCGAACAGCGCCGAGGAATTGGAAAAGCATGGAAATCCCACAATTCCTTTTTTTCCAAGTTTGGCCCCCGGTCTACTCTTGCACAACAGGCCACGGTTCAGACCCCCCTCACCTCCCAAACAAGAACCCAGGAAGCCATTGAGGGCCCCAAAACGTTGAATACCTAAAGGAAATCAATGATTTCTGCGTTTCCGCACTTCCCCTTTTATATGATTCCGAGGCTTGAGCAGGGCCTCCAAGGGAGTCCTTGGACGCAAGAAGCGACCAACATGATATTAAATTAGTTCGCCTATCAAGCCTAGCTAGAACTTGAGCGCGCGCGAAGCGCGCGCGCGATGGTTCTAGTGTAATCTACGAGGGATCGTGGCCCCGGGAGCGCGGACGCAGTGTAATTTACGAGGGATCGTCGCCCTGGGAGCGCGACCCCAGTGTAATTTACCAGGGATCGCGGCAGCGGGAGCGCGGACCCTGCGTAATCTGCAAAGGATCGTGGCCCTGTGAGCGCAGACGTGCGTTTTTCGTTTGCCCGCCAGAGGAAAAATTGCCCCCCCCATCTCGGATCCTCGATCAATGACCAGGTCCGCAGACCACTGTTTTCCTTTGTGAAGCAAGTGTGCGGGGCATTTTTCCCGGAAAGGGGCGTAGGCCCAGGATTTTCTTTTAGTTGGTAATTCCCCCTGTGCCAACTTCTGTAGGGCCGGCGGGATTTCCGCTCGATAAACAACGAGCGTTTCGCGCGTGCCCGCTCGAGGAAAGTCGACCCCCCACTCCGGATCCTCGATAAATGACGGGGTCCGCGGACCACCGTTTTCCTTGATAAAAAAACAAGGTGAAGTCGAATTCGGCGCGGAAAGTGCGTTTCGTGCGTGCCGCTCGAGAAAAGTCGACCCCCCCGATCTCGGATCCTCGATAAATAACAGGGTCCGGAGACCTTCGTCTTCCTTGATCAGAAACGAGGTTAAGTCCAACGCGGCGCGGAAAGCGTGAACATGTTGAGTTTTTGCGTGCCCGCTCGAGGATGGTGCGTCCGCCCTCCGCGCCAAAACATGGAGGATGTCTCGAGCGAAGCGTCTGTTTTGCAAAACTTGAGGGACCTGGGCGCCCCAGCATGCCCCAGGAGGCC